TTGATGATATGCTTTTCAGACTACATTTAACCTTGGCTTAATTTCAGCTATAAAGTTGGAATTATATTATCATTATAATGCGATTTGACTACTTTGATGTCTAGGACTTTATTAAAAGCTTATTTCAGACATGAAATTCTGCAAAAATAGTTTGTTTATGATAAAAAAAAAACACATTTTGGCATTAGAATAATCAGAAATCAGATCATCTGCAAAGTTTTAATTAGTTTACATGGTTATGATAACTAAAAATAACCTGCAGGGAACATTCTGGGAACGTTCCCTTTAGGTTATAAAAATAAAATAAAAAATAACCTACAGGGAATGTTCCCTTTAGGTTATACAAATAAAACCTAAAAATAACCTGCAGGGAATGTTCTGGGAAGATTCTCTTTAGGTTATAAAATTAAATCTAAAAATAACCTGCAGGGAATGTTCTGGGAAAGTTATCTTTAGATTATAAAATTCAACCTAAAAATAATCTGCAGGGAACGTTCCTAGAACGTTCTTATTTGGTTCCCAAAAAAATAACCAAATGGGAACATTAGGGGAACGTTCTGTGTTTGTTGGGCAAATAGAATCTGGTGAATTGGCACAATTCTTTACACAATTCACTTTTAAAGTATCCTTTTCTAAGCCTCCATCAGCTTTCTTTCGACATAGAACCTGTTTCTTCCAATGCTGATGTTTGTTTTTCCATAAAAAGTTAAACAATAAGCTAGTTATATGCTTACAAGTTTTATCATGGACAAATAATGAAATAGGCCTAAGTTTCGAAAAGTTTTTTTTGGCCCTGTATGATGTCATGAAGGGCGGGATTCTTTACGCGCACATCAACCAGGGGTGCGTTTCCCATACAACGACGTAACTCGCTGATTAACCACCATAGTACATGCATTGTTGTGGAAACTAACTAGTCAGTTACAACTGTTTCCCGAACATGGTCGCATCTCCGTCGCATGTACCACATTAGTTCAACAATTTAGGGCCGTTGTTAATGACGTCACACGCATGTGGTGGAGAAATAACTTCTGCTAATTAACTGATTTGAGATTTCTGAGATGCTGCTGTGTTCAACATGGCACCTGATGACTAATTTACTATGTTTTGTTGCCTGTCATTTTGCTTTGTTTGATGTTTGATTCATCACGGGTTCCCTCTTATGTCATACTCCGGGGTTCCCTTAGGCATTTATGCACAGGCACACTCTTCAAAAATGGTGCTTATTGAGAGTGTGGTTGCCTCTAAATTTAAATGGAAAAAAACTCAGACAAAGCCTTAGTTTGTTTATATGAAGAGGTTTTCTTTATTTGTATTTATTTATTTGATTTGGGATTTGTTTTAAAATTTTACTTAGTTTTGTTATTTGAAATATTTATATTTCACAAAGAAATGTGCAGCATTTTGTCTGAGAAATAATTAAAGGGGTCATATGATGCGATTTCAAGTTGTTCGTGAATAGATAAGATCCCTAAAGTTGCAAAAACTGAAGTCTCAAACCCAAAGAAATATTCTATTTAAAAGTTAAGACTCGTCCACGCCCTCCTAAAACGCCTCGTTCTAACACGCCCCCACAGGTCTACGTCACTGTGTGGGAAGATTTACATAATACCGCCCAAATGTTCAAGCAAAGAAAGAAGGCATAACTTTTATTCTTGCTGTAGTATTGTTATTGCTGCCGCCGCCATGTCGTGCAGACGCTGTGTTTCGTTGCGAAAGTGAAACAACTTTGTTTGGCCTTCCAAAAGAGGACACAACTAGAAATAAGTGGTTAAGTTTTATTTACAACACTGTTCCAGAACAGTTCAACCCAAATATTCGTGTGTGTGCAATGCATTTTATGGAGGACTGTTTCCTGAATCTGGGAGAGTAGACTACAATGCCGTCTGTTCTGACTCACAGCCTGTAAGTATGTTTTCATATTTAAAGAATTTGCCACTGACTTTTCAAACGTGAGTTTTGAGCAGTGTAGAGTAGCACTTGTTTGTCGTTTCTCCGATCACAAATGCAGACATGGTTTTATGTTTACACGGTATGATGCAATGCAACGCGTAAAAATACAGTATAAGTCATTATAATCTGTAATTATATCCCCACTGGATGCAACAAATGCCTAGTTTATAATGGGTTTTATTGTTTTTGTCTCGTCACACCGGGACACGGCCTCACAATATGGTAAGGGAGCGTAATATTTCTGTCACACGCTTGAGGTATTCGGCCAATCACAACGCATTGGATAGCTGGCCAATCACAGCACACCTCACTTTTCAGAACGATGAGCTTTGTATAAATCAACACATTTCAGAAAGGTGGGGCATAGAAGAGAACCAATAATGTACAGTATGTGGAAAATAAAGTGTTTTTTGAACCTTAAACCGCATAAACATTTCATTACACCAAATACACAAAATAATGTTATTTTTTAGCAATGTCATATGACCCCTGTAAAGGACACCTTTTCATTTACAATTTTTCTTGAATCTAATTTTTTTTTTAAATCGTGAGAAAAATCATATCGTGAAATCAGTACCGTAAATCATATTGCATCGTGAGTTTAGTGATTTGTTACCTCCTTACAGGCTGAATGAAAATGTAAATCCATTGTCTGACATTAGGTAGCACTTATAGAACAGCAGAAATAGAGATGTTTATATGGTAACCTCTGTAAACAAAGCAGTGCTGTGCTTATAAACACTGCTTGCCATCTAAACTTTTCTGAAGACAGTCAGTTCCCCCTTATGCAGTCATACATTCTTTCATATAATTTCCCTCAGCAGTCTGCCTTCAGTCATGTTTTCACACAAAACGGCTTGTTGCGGCTGCATTAGACTCTTAGTAACTTTGCTTAATGCTGTGCAGTATTTACCATGAGTTTTTCAAATATCGATAATCAAATATGGGTTTAATGATAATTAAAATTAGGGTTGGGTATCGTTTGGGGTTTTTTCGATACCGGTGCCAAATCTATACTTTTAAAATGTTTCCGGTGCCTAAATGGTGCCTGAACCGATACTTATTAAAAATAAATAAATAAAAATTCACCCAAAAATGATGGATTGGCCATTAGAATAGAAATAGAATAGAGTGCAAATGTTAGAGGGTCAAGTTTTTTAATAAAAAAAAAAAACAATAAGATAAAATTAGAAGTAGCATTAGAATAGAGAGTGCTAGAGTTAGAGGGTCAAATGAAGATGAAAGAGATGTGTTTTCAGCCGTTTCTTGAAAATATTAAGGACTCAGCTGCTTGGATTGAGCTGGGCAGGTCATTCCACCAGGAGGGAACAGTTAATGTAGAAGTCCATGAAAGTTTTATCATAGGTAGAATACAAAATGTTTCAATACAAGCATTTCAGTCAAATGTAATGTATGCAATATTTCAAACCTTTAACCCACTTGGGAAAATCAACCCATGGCAATAGTTTAAAAGTACCCCAATTCTGTGGAAAAACCACGGACTTGGCAACCCTGCATCCAACAAGAGCTACCGGAGTCAGCTTTGATTGATCACAGGTCGAGAATAGGGAGAGATGACTGACAAGAGCATGCTGGCGTATAGGCTCAACAGATCGTGAGCTCATTGACAAATATCTGATCTTGTAAGATGTGCTCCCTTTACACAGAGTGCGTGTGATCACGAAATCGAAAGTGAAAGTAAACAGCGCAAACGCTCATTCAAACATATTTAAATACTCCGCATCCTGAGAGCGGCTCCCTGATGCGCCAAAATTATACACAATATTAGAATGTTTAAAGGAGTGGACACGAAACTCGCGGGAGCGAAACACATGTTGCGGGAGCAGGCGGCAATGGTGGGATTAAGAAAACCCTGACATTTTAGGCAATTAAGAAATCCTGGCGGGACGCATTTTTGTAGGTCCAAAAAGAGGACATGTCTGGGGAAAAGAGGACGTATGGTCACCCTAACTTATTGCTGATCAATGTATTCTTTTTAAAGTAGCATATGGAACATATTTTCTGACTCATTCTGTGACAAGAATACTCATCAGATCACAAAAGGAAGCATTTGACTGGTGTTGTGGAGTAAAAAGGTTATAATTTTCTCTTTTGTTGGACAACAGGTTTAGAAATGTGAATACAAGGGAGGTTTAGCTTTAGGCATTTTAATTTAAGCATGTTTAGCTTAGTGAACGGAAGGCTACCTGCTGCCATCAGAGCAAGTGTAATTACTGCATTCACGCACTCCTCGATGCTCTCATTTCCCGAGTTGTGCTTTTAAGTCGGAATGTGAAAACAACATAGACACTCTTGTTACTACAAAGATGTGTTGGATTTGTATTATTAGACCTTTCCGACTTCACGTGCATTTTCTCAGTCGGGATATTATTTTTCATGTGCGGTGCCAGTGATGATGATGCTTACGTCCGTTTCGGAGAACCAGAGGACAAATATTTCAATCGATCTCTCAGGCATGGCACCGAAATGAGGCACCGAAATCTGCTTTCGGATTCAGTTCTAGTACATATCGGTTACATAGGTACCGGTGTTGTGCCGAATTCGGCACCCCTGCCAGATTATGCCCCCCCTCGTTGAAGTCGCTACCTGATTGCCAAATCCCAACCCCACCCCTAATCCTAACCCCTACCCCACACCTACTCCTAAACCTACCAATACTAGGGGGTGCATAATCTGGCAGGGTACAAATTTCGGCACTACACCCGGTGCCATATTGGTACCGGGTTTCGGTACCCAACCCTAGTTAAAATACGAAACGGGATAGTAAAAATAAACTCAAGGCTGACATGTCAAGTATGTCTTGGCGAGCTACCTCCAATCAGGTAGCTCGCAAGCGACGTGTTGGAGACCCCTGACTTACACTTTCATATTTCAGGTTTCATTTAAAGACCCCATTAAATCAATATCAGAGTATTTTAGTCCACGGATACATGCTAGTGAATGCATAACAGATGACAAAAGAAACTTTCAAAAATCTTATTCTTAGTAAAAACGTGCATTTTGTTCTCTTTTCTCCAATTCCTCAGTCTCTGACAGATGAAAACAACACAGAGCTGGAATCATTGACCTTAATTTCTTATATTGGCTGCGGCATCTCCATGTTTTTTATGGCCATCGCTTTATTCATGCATTTCCTGCTACGGTAGTGTATCATACAGTATAACATAAATATTAGTTTATGTTGCAAAAACAGTTTTTTGTTTGTTTTAATAGGAAAGCCAAATCAAATCAGGCCACGAAGATCTTGATGAACATGTTTGTGGCTTTGTGTCTACTGAATGCCTCGTTTTTGTCAAACGAGAGTGTTGCTAACACAAAAGACAATGCTGCGTGCGTCTTCATAGCGCTGGTGCTGCATTACTCCATGCTGGCCTCATTCACCTGGTTCTTCATTCAAGCTCTTCATATGTACTTATGGCTCATCAGACAGAACGTCACCATCACAAACTACATGAGGAAGATCACCGTGTTGGGCTGGGGTGAGATAGAGCAACAAAACATCTATTAAAATAAACCTGTTTCAAACCATCTAGTCCAATTGTAAGTTCCACCGAAAAATAAAATATATTGCACTCAAGTCATATGAACTACAGTCATCATGGTAATTTTATGGTATATAAAATGTTTGGTGTTTTTTGAGGAAGTTTTAGTATTTCTAAATACAGTTTGTCATTTTTTGTAAATATGTCTGTAACGCTTGTTGCTTGGTAGAGGAGGAAGAGCGCATGACGAAGACAAGATTCAATAATAATCCATTTAATAGTAATCCAAGAGGAAGGGTAACAAGCTCACAACAACATCAGACAAACATCAACATTACCGGACAAGCAAGAACAGAAAGGGAGCAACTTAAATACATAAATTTACAACTTAAATACACAGACCAAACAAAGATGATTAACAAGCACAGGTGGACAGAATGAGCTAAATCAAGGAAGACATAAACTAGGTCAAAGGAAACATGAGGGAAGAAAACAAACTAAAAGTCCATGATGGTGAAAGAACTCCCCCCTCCCGGAAGGGGCGACCTCACGCCGTAGCAGGACAAAGGAGGGAGGGAGGGGGTTTGGGAGGAGAAAGAGGCAGTGGCAAAGGACATGAAGAGAGGCAGGCAGATAACCAGGGCGGCGACGATTGAGAAGCCAGGGAGAAAACAGAAGGGACCAGGGAGGATCTGATAGAGGGAGGAACCAAGGAGGAATCAGGAAGGACCATGGTGGATCAGATGGAGGGAGGATAGAGACAGGAGGGACTTGGAGCAGGAGGAGGAGCCAGGTGAGACCCAGACCGCAGCCAGGAGGAACCTTGGTGGAGGAAGGGCTGATAACTCCAGGGGGGCGACCAACAGCGGCGAAGCAGGTAGGAGAGGAGCCTGGGGCAGAAACGGAGAGCCATAGAGCCAGGGCGATGGGGAGGATGGGCCAAGGCGGAGCAGATGACTCAGGTGACCGAGGCGTAGGCGGGGATCCAGAAGGCCGTGATGGAGCCGAAGTGACAGAGGACCAAGGTGGAGCTGGAGGGAGGGAGGATCCCAACGGAGCCGGTGGGACGGATCGACGAGGCACAGCCGGAGGAGTGGAGTCCTGAGGCGATGGCGGGTCGGCGACTGACCAAGGCGGAGCCGGAGGGACGAGGGAGCCCGACAGAGCTGGTGGACTGACGGGCCACAGTAGAGAGGAGGGAGCTAGGAGCCATGGTGGAGCCGCTGGGTCAACGGGCCGAGGCGGAGTCTGAGACTCTGAGGCTGGAGGCAGAGACAAGGGATCCTCCAGCCACGATGTCGATGGAGACAGGCAGACCCACGGCAAACCCACATCCCAGATGGTAGGCTGAGGGTGAGCTGAGGGGCTGATAGGGGACAGCGGAGGTGGTGGTGAGGTCTGATGAAGAGGTGGTGGGAGAGGGAGGCTGGGTGGGAGATTTCCAGGAAAAGTCTGGTTTGGTCCTCGAGGGCAAGCTTCCCCTGCTCCAGCAGGAGGAGGAGGAATTCGGGGCGATCCATAAGAAAACCAAAAGAAATACTTGCAAAAACAGAAAATAAATGAGGATAGAAATGCCGCTCAACTTTTCTTTTTGTGGTCCGGTATTCTGTAATGCTTGTTGCTGGGTAGAAGAGAAAGAGCGCACGACAAAGACGAAGATTCAATAATAATCCATTTAATAGTAATCCAAGAGGAAGGGTAACACAAGCTTACAACAACATCAAACAAACATCAACAGTACCGGACAAGGAAGAACTGAAAGGGAGCAAATTAAATACACAGACCAAATGAAGATAATTAACAAATACAGGTGAACAGAATGAGCTAAATCAAGGGAGACAGAAACTAGGTCAAAGGAAACATGAGGGAAGAAACTAAAAGGCCATGATGGTGACAATGTCTACATAGATTTGATAAATTTTTATTTTAGTTTTATTTGATCTTTTAGTTATTTTAGTTATTTAGTTAGGGTGTGTTCACACTTGTCATGTTTGGTTTGATAAAACAAACTCTGGTGCGATTGCTCTGTTAGTGCGGTTCGTTTGAATAAGTGTGAACACTGTTATCCGAACCCTGGTGCGCACCAAACAAGCGGACCAAGACCCATCTTTTTTTGCTTTCAAACAAACTCTGGTGCGGTTCGAATGAAATATGAACGCAACACGGACTAAATACTTCTAAAAGACCCATAAACAGGAAGTAATGACAAGATGCGATGCTATGCGACATTATTTGACGACGCAGAACGAGAGGTGCATCTAAAACAAAATGAGCCGAGGGCAAACGTGGAGCAATGAGGAGGTAAAGTGCCTTTTATGAGCTCTCCGTGAGTTTGCAGGTGGTGAAAATAAAATCATAAATACATGCAACAATGAGCACGCAGTCCAGCAGATGGCATTAGGCGTGTTCGACTTAAAGCGGCGCTGCGCAGACCGATCGGTAAATGGGAACTTTGATGCCATACATGATCGGTCTGCGCACCACTTTAAGTCTAACACAGCTTTTGTTTGGGGTGTTCGGTGAGTTCTGTCACGAAATATACGTTATTCAACCCGACCAATAAGGTTGTGAATGTATCACTATGCCTGTCAAAAATGCCAGTGTGAACGCTAAGCGGACCAGGACCAAACGTATAATTTTCTTTTTTGGTCAGGACCAAACAAACCAAGAGAACCGAACTACAAGTGTGAAGGCACCCTTAAAGTAGTAACAAAAATTACTTATTAATTTATTCATTATTTTTTATATGTTTAATTTTAACTATAATAACCCTTGTCTCTGTGTGTTTTCAGCGTTTCCCGCTCCAATAGTCATAGCTATTGCTTCTGTAGGAGAATATAAAACACTGATCCTAAAAACAACGTCTGGAAAAATTTCACGAATGTAAGTTCTGTAAATTTAAATGTCTACTGATTGTCTTATTAATTATACTTCATTCTTTTCTAATTACAGGTGCTGGATTACAAATCCCGTCATTCACTACGCAGTGAACATCGGCTACTACGCTTTAGTTTTCATCTTCACGACAGGAATCTTCATCACTATCTTAACTAGGATTGTCCAGGCCAGACGCATGAGAGCAACTGACGGCAAGAGAAAGACGTTCAGAAAGCAGCTGATGATGGTGTTGAGTTTGTTCCTGCTCTTCGGTCTGACGTGGTCTGTGGCGTTCTTCAGTTATGGACCGATGCGCATTCCCTCATATTACATATTCACTGTGCTGAACTCATTACAGGGTGAGAAACAATCACATGCATCGATACATTTAGTTTAGCAGAACACTTCTATTTTTTCCTGCAGATTTCAGCTAATAATTAGAGCTAAGGATGTTTTAAATTATTTATTATTTAATTTCTCTCATTCTTTTTTCAGGGTTCTTCCTCTTCCTGTATTACTACCACATTCACAATGACGTCGCAGGTCATTTCTCAGATGATCCAGAAAGCACCGAATCCACTACAACCATCGCTCAATCCAGCATTACTGCTGTGGAAAATATTTATAACTAGCATAATTAGGATAGAAGGTCTTCTATGTCTCAGACTTTCTTAGACTGATTTCTTAAACTGATCTGTCGTTGTTTGAGGGGAAACTGTGTATTCTCACCAAAATCAAGCTCAAAAACAACAAAGACATAAAGTCACTTATGAACAAGAAAGAACTGTTTAAAATGATCCATGCACATAATAACCCTAAAAATCAATTTTAGTGAAAAAACTCTAAATAATTGACTGACATTTGACTGCTCAGCTGAGCGATCCTCTAAAACACGGCGGTTGATGTGTTTCAGAATTAGTCTCATGGACAGCCTGGAGATCAGGTCATCCACGTTGCCAGAGTAGATGCTTTCAGGGATTGCACAGACCACCGAGTCACTTGTCAAAAAGTGGCATGTGTCGTGGATCTCTGAGACACCGATTATTTGTGCTTCGGTTTCTTGGACCTGCCCCTCATCAATCTGTAAGTTTTACAAAAAAAAACAAAATAAATAAAATAAAATTAGTACTGGAAGTGTCAAGTGTCACACTGCATCCCAATTCACCTGCTTATACTATGCCCCAAAAGTATGTACTCTTTTTGTGAACAAAGTACATACTTTAGAGTGTGTAGTAGAAGAGCTGGCAAGGTTTGGGATACACTACTTTGTCTTTAATGGAGCGCTCTGCTGCTTAGTTACGTGCACCCTGATACCGTTTAAAGTGCGTAATGCAGGTTAGAGTCCCAGTGAGTCAATGTATAGAAAATGTATATTTTCTTTAAACAAGGTGTCCACGGGGTCTTAAAAAGTATTAAAAGTTGATAAATCAATTTAGAGAAAATTAAGGCCCTTAAGTATTAAAAAGTCTTAAATGCCATTTTCCAAGGTATTAAATTTTGTATCATCTTTTCATTATGTATATTTGTCCGAATAGTGGGGTGTAATTTATATATGTAATCCCGCAAGATTTGACGTTTTGGCTCCTGCAAACATTTTAATATTGTATATAATTTTCACGCATCAGGGCGCCGCTATCAATATGTGGGGTATTTAAATCCCTTTTGAATGAGCGCTCGCAGTCGTAGTTTACTTTCGATTTCGCGATCGCACGCGCACGGTGTAAAGGGAGCACATCTTACAATAAAAGATATTTGTCAATGAGCTCGGGATCTGTTGAGGAGCAAATCCTCCAACATCTTGTCAGTTATCTCTCCTTACTTTTGACCCGTGATCAGTCAAATCTGACTTCTGCAGCTCGTGTTGGATGCAGGGTTGTTGTTGTATTTTTCCACGAAATTGGGCTGCTTTTAAACTGTTGCCATGGGTTGATTTTCCCCAGTGGGTTAAAGGTTTGAAATGTTGCATAAATTACATTTGGTTGAAATGCTTGTACTGAAACATTTTGCATTCTACCTGTAATAAAACTGTGCTAAATGTTTTTGGGCCACACTAGTAGGAAGAATTTGAGTGGTGTTTATGATAAATGTGCATAACAGTGACTGTAAAATATGTATTTTAGGGATGGAAATGACATTTTTATATTTGGGACATGGTAATTGCACTACTTTTTTTACTGGCATGGGCTTGGGATGCACAGTTAAAATGATGTAATAGTTGTGATCATTATTTTACCTTCCATAATCATTCAGACATGATCAGGTTCAGTACTGAGACACTGTCAAGTCTGCATCAAATCAAGCACTCTGTAATCACAGGTAAACTGATCAGTCAGGTGTTTGTCATGAGAAGTGATCCACAAAAGAGCTATGGTTTGAGTTGATGTGACAAATACATCTTTTGAATATACTGTGTGAACTCATTGCCCCGTTAGCTCAGAAAACTTTATTTTCCCTCCTCAATAAGTTTTGTCAGTTGTTTTGTTTATTGTTCTAATTCTTGTATCTTGGGTTGCATTGGTTATTCACTCAATTCATTCTCTTGTGCTTCGTTCCCCACTTCTGAATTATGTTGTATTGATAATGAGTTATCACAAAGTAGGTCTCGTCAATAAATGAGTACAAAACAGCGTTTCCTAGCACCTGTCGCTTACTGATTGTTTGCAATGATAAATATGAGCGTAGTTTGTCTGTTAATATCACATGCACTTTTTTTGTTTGTAGTTTTATTAGTTTGTTACTCAGACACAGGCAGTGCGCTGCATGAGACAAAAAGTAATATAGCCAAAACAACCGCATATCCGCTCTTTAGTGTAGATGCTTGTTGATTTTATCAGACGATAAATGAGAGTGACTCCTGGTTAACATTAAAAGGGGTCGTGTTTAGTCACTATTTAGTGTGGTATTTTTTGACAGAATGCCCTATTTTACTGTCATGAGTGAATATTAAGTCAATATACTGCAGTATTTCCTCTCTCAATCAGTAGAAAATATGGTCATGCATGAGAAAAAAAAAATACTGTCATGTACCGTGAAACTGATATAATTTTGAAAAATACCGTGATATAAAGTTGTGGTCATACCGCCCAGCACTATCAGTATTTTCTTTTCTTTTTTTCTTTTTTAAATAAGAATTAATTATCTTGTTCAGCCTGACACCCTTATCTTTTTTTTAAAAAAAATAATGAGTTGTAAACTCATGTCTGCTTTGCTGAACATTTAAATACATTTTAAGGACTGGGCATCTTGAATGTTGTTTTTGTGTAAGACCACTGGCAAAAGTTCCTTGCGTTTAAGGGCCAGGTTTTCTAACAGTGCCCAGCACAAACCCTCTTTTGGCATTACAAACTTACAGAATTTACAAAAGGCACACAGTGGAAAAATTAGCACTTTTTGGAGATGTTTTAGTTCTTTGTTAGAATAAAATGCACATTAGGCCAATTGAGTTTAAGATTACCATAGTACAAATCTTTTCAGCCTGCTATCTAGTCCCTGTATCAAGAAGTCAATTAATCATCTAGAGAGCGAAAATGTAATGTCTTTTGTGATTTATAACAGACAACTGATGATAGCAGCTCTATATGTTACTCAAGTAACATGAACATTTTAAAAAAATTAGCAGGAGGAGCATTGAACAAATGAAGATTGTGCAAAACCTTGGCTCTGAATCAGAGCTGGATTTGGCCACTCCCCGGATGAAAAGCATATCTGCACTTTCATCATCAATTTCATTTTGTATCGGCTCTACTGAATTGTTCATAGCACTTTTTGATTTTGTCTCAATCACCTCATTGAAAAGTCCCTTCACAAGCAGTAGACAAGCACATTTTTTATGGTATGAGAAAGTACAGCAGTCACATACACTTGTCACAATACATGGTTTTGATGCTGCTCTTCCAAATAAGCTTTCAACCTCTATTGCAGAAATGCTATACTTATTCCTTAGAATAAATTTTTTGGCATGGGCCTGCAGTTGTGTGTCCATGTCTGGAAAAGTCTCAGCACCACTACAAGTGAGAAGACTTAATAAAAAGAGATGCTTACACGTATGTCCCCTTGTACCAGCTACACAACTGCAGAACTGTTCTGCAGGACACACAGTAAACGACATGTGGATTATTCTCAGATGGAACATTGTATATATATATGTTTCTGTTGAAGCTATGGTCATTTTCATGGCCCATCCATTCTCTAGCATCCTCTCAGCAGATTTCTTTATTTCTTCCATTTTACATTCCAGAGGGTTATTGACCCTCCCAACAGACTGCAAATCCTGTATTATATTGAAGTACTTGTCAGTCTTGTTCAGCAGCACATCAATCAGATGATCCAATCCACAATTTCGGATGCCACAGAGGAATTGGTATTTTAAATGGTGGAAGAAACTATAAGGGGGGACAACATACAGAGAAAGTGTAACAATAAGATGGGACAAAGGTCAAGATCCAATTTGAGGCAACACCAATTTATTACATTTAAGACATTAGCAAAAAGAACAGGTTAACTTAATCTGAAAATGGAATCAACAATTTTTGGGTGGTTTTATCTGAAAAATGACAAAGAAATGAACTGGATTATAAAAAAAACTTTTTATTATGAACATTATTGGAACAGAACATTTTCAAAATAATTTAATCTTAGCATCAACCTTTTTGGAACTGAATATTTTTCAAAACATTTTAACATCAATTTTATTCACAGGTAATTTTCCTGCCACCTCCACCCACACTGTCTGGGGCATATTTTAAACAAAAGGCGATGACCGCTGCAATATTTGCCTCCGTCTCCTTTGTTGTTCTCTTGACACTCTCTGTAACAAATATTTGAAAATGAAAAGTTATGAGAAATATAGGATATGATGCACTACAGTATGCATTGAATCAACCCTGAATGTCACAGTGATGTGACACTAATATTTTTATTATTTATTTATTTTTTACCCGTGACAACAGTGTACAGATTGAGCTTGGTGAAGGCAAGCTTCCCCTTCCCCTCCTTCATATTGAAACGGGTCATGACCTCATTTGTCATCAACCTGTGGATACAAGAGTAATGCCCAAATAATTCATTATACATGATGCATTAGGAGCCAGTTGTTATAGTTTGTGTTAGGTTCATCATGTCAACCTGGTTATAGTACCAGGTATAGTATATAGGTATAGTACCAAGTATAATTATGACAAATAATTAATTTGATATTTAATCTATTCCAATCTATACATATAGTACTACTTTATTCTTTTCCTTTTTTGAGTCTTCAGAACAGTAATGGTTTAAATCTAAAAATTACAGGGGTACAAAAATTACAGTCATGTTTGAATTATTTGTTCAGTATTTGTTAATAACAGTAGGCCTGGTAGGTACCAGTAGCAGTACACCTATTATATTTTATTACTTACTTCTTGTACTGCTGTTGATACAACTATCTCCAGCTGAGTGTCAGAAACTTCCCGTCTCAGATGATGACTGGCGCAAAATCGTCTTACACTCCTCGCCGAACAACCTCGCCTGACACCAAGTTGAGACAGGTGCTCTGCAATGTCCATGTGTGTTTTGTGTCAGAAATCACCTCCCTGTATGGTTCCAGAGACATGGCGCTTCTCATTCAACAAAGCGGGAAAAACAATTTCCGGGTTCTAATTTGGCCTTAGAAAACCG